ACCCCCCCCCCCCCCGTTATCCAAAATCAGCTCCCAAATTGTGACTGGGCCGCTTTGGGGAACTGCAAAAATGGGAATGAGAAGGGTTTGTTTTCCAGCAATCTCATCTCGCATTCCTCCCCCCACCCCTTGGAAAAACCCAACAGACTTAAAATGTTCAGCTCCTCCCTTCCTATGGGTGACATGATCAAATGGCCTTCAGCAGCCTTTTGAATGGCCAGGAAGATGAACTGTAACCTCTTATCCTGCACACACTGGCCACCACCGTCTTAGTTCCTAACACTTTGCATGGAAAGAATATGCAATTTTCTGCAAGTTCTACATCCCACTTTTCTTGCCCCGCTATTCATTATTTAAACTTTGTACAATCATCACCTTAATATATAAATTGTTCATTCAACTCTGTTGCCAGGCCTCTTCACAACTCAGTACAATCATTGGCTGTCCACGTATTGAAAAGGATTCAGAAGTGTTTTGGACCTTTGTGAGCAGAGCACCTGCTATTTCAGTAAATTATGAGTCAGCCTGTATCAGACTTCTTGAAGTATGCATACCCAGCAGGTATGCAGCTCTGTCAACATCCATTTATTTGTGGATTTCTTCAATTCATTATGAAGATTTTAGTGGGTCTTCCAACATTACAGAGATTGGGGGGACAAGCAAGCCTGTTCAAAAGAGTCTTCAAAAACTGTCCTAGAAAATTAATGTGTTTAAATGATGAATCTGGCTGAAACCATTATAATTCTAGGATAAAGTCCAACATTTGCTGAGTAAACAGTTAATGTAACAGACTTCTTCTTTCTTGAAATTGTTTTTCCTAAAAATCCACTCAGAAGCTCAGGATTCAACACATCTTAATAATGTTGGGGAAGAAATAATTGCCACCTATTCTAACAGCAAAAAGTGGTTGTCACTCATCTTCTGCGATTTCCATGTTCTATCTCAAATCAGCATACAGTTTAGCAATTATTACTAGCACAGAACACTAGATATAGACTTTTCAATAGTTTTTATTGTAATATAAAAATAGTTACAAAACTCCTTTTGCTTTGCAAGTACTACTGATCCCACACATTCAAATACATTTCAAAATGTTTCTGGTATTGGCAATATCAAAGTTTCTCTTTATTAAAGGTATACTGTTTATTTTTATATACAGTACAGCATGCATTGCTTTAGAAATGTGCATCATGTACAGTCACTATTACAATAATTGGCACTAATAATTCTGCTATGTTCATTTAAAAATTCAAAATATAAAGGCTATCATAATACACATTTTTCTTTCCCATTCTCACCTCTGTAGAGGTCAGAGTTTGCCAAGCTTTACATCTTCTACCATCACCCTACTGAGCATTCATGTTAATCTTCTGAGAAGCCTTTCACTTCTCCAAAGCTGTTCTTAGAAAACAGCTATGAAGATGTCTGGGGTGGGACTTATCATCTACAACAGTTTCCATTACATAATATTGAGATAGCAATTCTTAACCTTCATTTTGGAAGTTGCAATCCCAACTTATCTGAAAAGCAAGTTTGAGGAAGGCTGCTGTTTTCTAAGATCACTCTCATAGTGGCTCACAGTAACACAGCAACTACAAGCAAATTAGATACTTAGGGTAGAAAAGAACACTTCTGGCATAGGAACTTGACAAATTAACACTTTCTCTTCCTGTCTAGACGACTAGTCAGGACAAGGACACTGACATGTCCAATCTAACATAGGCTTTCTGTTTTCTTTCAGAAACTAAGTAGTGATTTTTTTTAGATGTCTAGAATGAATGCTTTAATTTACATTATAAATTTAAGTAAAAGCCAAATTGATTTTGGAAGTCAGTTAAAAGTATTGAGAAGAAAGTACTGTTAGACTTCTTAAAGGATCTCAATTTGCTGCTGCAGTTTTGATCTTTTCTCCAAATGTTTAGCTGCAGTGATAATTCAAAACATCTGATTAGCTTCCCTAAAGTCCAATTACATATTCATGCCATATTGTCCAGAAATATATTTAGACAGTCTTTTCAAAATGGAATCAAGGATGTGCTGAACACATTTCCCTCATATTGCCTAGAATTAGGTTACATTCTCTATCTTCTATACTGGTAACATCCTCTATAATATTAGCTAAAGGGTTCCTCCAACCATCCAGCTAGTATTTGTTAAACTAGTATGTAAAAGTGGATGGCATTCTTTAGCTTAAACAATCTCTAAACAGAATATGTAAAGCAAAAGTAAAATACAGTGAATCCTCTGTATAGGCCTTTGTTCAATGTCAAATACTCCATTTCCTTGGAAAAATGCAAGCACACTAGATTTGGCATACTACTAGCAGTACCATGAGGAGGGCTGGCATAGGATTAATGATGCCACCTGACACTGTAAAAGGCGATCAAAACATGCAAGTTGGGAATCCTAAAGCACAGCACAAGTCTCATAACATGTAGGCTGAATGTCCCCTGATTTTTTTCATTACTGTATCAAATATTTTTTAGGAAAGCCAAAAACATGTTGGAATCTAAGCATAAAATGAAAGAAAAGAATCTCCTCCTCCTCCTAGAAGTAAGTAGCTTATTGAAATATGTGGCAACTGTGATCAGTTCAGAAGAATTAGAATTTAATCCAACAGCTTCAATCAGTAAACATTAGGGAAAATGAGATCAGAGAGAAGGCCTTGCTCTTTGCCAAACATATACAATGCTGGCCATCTATTATGCATGACAAAAATGGTTTCAATTTTTTTCCTGCAACACTCTTGAATGTACATACGCTCAAATGGCACTCTTTAAGAATAAGAGTTTAGAGTAACACAGATCTAGTTAAGTCTATTTTACATTATACTCTTATAATCTGATCAAACTGTAATCACTCTAAGAGAATATTTAATCCAAATAATGGAGATACCATATATAGCCAATATTCATTTAAATGCAGTTGGTGCAAAAATAATACTGATTGCCCTATAGCAGCAATGTCTGAGATTGCTGTGATATCAGAACATATGTTTGTATGAGAAGCTGTCGCCTATGTGAAGAAAGAAGCTAGGTAGGGTAATCATATAACTTCTATCAATATAGCCACCTTCTTTGCCTCTCCCCTTCCTGGCCATGATAATCATAATCTTGAACTATAGAACACACAGCTCTCCTCCTACAATGCCAGTGGAAAGTGACATCACAACTCAAGAGAAAGTGCTGTGAATCTAGAGCAGAAGGAGAATCAATTGTGGAGTTAATCATCCAGCTTTCCAAGATGGCCAGAAGGTCCACAGTGCTATGGAAACAAGTCTGAACAACATTAAAAATGTATCAGAGTTTTAGCAATTTTATTCAGTGGAGTGCTCCCTTTCTTTATAACTTTCTTCCAATATCTGAAGTCTAATTGTTTAATCTTGTACTTCTAAAGATCCTTCCACAAGTCAAAAATCAATTAAAAATAATTTCGTGAAGCTGTTGTGATATTTGTAGATTTTTCTCAAGTTTATCAAGGAATACAGCACAAGTTACCTTAGAGTCACCATAAGAACTGTGAAGCAATAAACATAGGTTCTTCTAAAATTAAAGTCTTTACTAACTCATGTCAGTTATTCAGAAAAATCCTAACAATATTAAGAAAGCAATATATAGTGCATTAAAAGGGGACGTGGTGGCATAGCGGCTTAATGACGCTGAAAGCTGCTGGCCAGAAATGGTCAACACTTCAGTGGTTCGAGCCCAGCTTCACACAGCAGAGTGAGCTCCTGCTTCCTCCCCCAGTTCCTGTCAACCCAACAGTTCGAAAACTTACGTGAGTAGATAAATAGGTACTCTCACTCTGGTGAGAGGAAAAATGCTGGCGGCGCCTTGTAAAAGGAGTCGGGAGCAGTTGCCGGTAGCGCGGAAGCTGCGCTCGCCCGAAAAAGGTGCGAAGCAACGGAAACCCTGCCTCCTGTGCTCGCCATCTGGGCTCTGCTCTAGGAA